TCTTTCCTGCTTTCTCTTGTGGGCATTTAGTGCATAAATTTCCCTCTACACACTGCTTTAAATGTGTTCCAGAGATTCTGGTACATTGTTTCTTTGTTCTCATTGGTTTCAAAGAACATCTTTATTTCTGCCTTCATTTTGTTTTGTACCCAGTAGTCATTCAGGAGCAGGTTGCTCAGTTTCCATGTAGTTGTGTGGTTATGAGTGAGTTTCTTAATCCTGAGTTCTAATTTGATTGCACTCTGGTCTGAAAGACTGTTTTGATTTCTGTTCTTTTGCATTTGCTGAGGAGTGTTTTACTTCCAATTATGTGGTGCAGAGCTCTGTAGATGTCTATTAGGTCTGCTTGGTCCAGAGCTGAATTCAAGTCCTGGATATTAATTTTATGTCTCATTGATCTGTTTAATATTGACAGTGGGGTGTTAAAGTCTCCCACTGTTATTATGTGGGAGTGTAAGTCTCTTTGTACATCTCTAAGAACTTGTTTTATGAATCTGGGTGCTCCTGTATTGGGTGCATATATATTTAGGATAGTTAGCTCTTCTTGTTGCATTTATTCCCTTTACCATTATATAGTGCCCTTGTTTGTCTCTTTTGATCTTTGTTGGTTTAAAGTCTGTTTTATCAGAGACTAGGATTGCAACCCCTGATTTTTCTTGCTTTCCATTTGCTTGGTAAATATTCCTCTATTCCTTTATTTTGAGCCTATATGTGTCTTTGCATGTGAGATGGGTCTCCTGAATACAGCACACTGATGGTTCTTCACTTATCCAATTTGCCAGTGTGTGTCTTTTAATTGAGGCATTTAGCCCATTGACATTTAAGGTTAATATTGTTATGTGTGAATTTGATCCTGTCATTATGATGTTGGCTGATTATTTTGCCCATTAGTTGATGCAGTTTCTTCACAGTGTCGATGGTCTTTACAATTTGGTATGTTTTTGCAGTGGCTGGTACCAGTTATTCCTTCCATGTTTAGTGCTTCCTTTAGTAGCTCTTGTAAGGCAGTCATGATGGTGACAAAATCTTTCAACATTTACTTGTTTGTAAAGGATTTTATTTCTTCTTCACTTATGAAGCTTTGTTTGACTGGATATGAAATTCTGGGTTGAAAATTCCTTTAAGAATGTTGAATATCGGCCCCCACTCTCTTCTGGCTTGTAGGATTTCTGCAGAGAGATCTGCTCTTAGTCTGATGGGCTTCCCTTTGTGGGTAACCCGACCTTTCTCTCTGGCTGCCCTTAACATTTTTTCCTTCATTTCAACCTTGGTGAATCTGACAATTATGTGTCTTGGGGTTGCTCTTCTCGAGGAGTATCTTTGTGATGTTCTCTGTTGTCTGTATTTCCTGAATTTGAATGTTGGCCTGTCTTGCTAGGTTGGGGAAGTTCTCCTGGATAATATCCTGAAGAGTGTTTTCCAACTTGGTTCCATTCTCCCTGTCAGCTTTCAGGTACACCAAACATAGATTTGGTCTTTTCACATAGCCCCATATTTCTTGGTGGCTTTGTTCATTTCTTTTCACTCTTTTTTCTCTAATCTTGTCTTCTCACTTTACTTCAGTAAGGTGATCTGCAATATCTGGTATCCTTTCTTCTGCCTAATTTGGCAGTGTATGCTTCACGAAGTTCTTGTGCTGTTTTTTTCAGCTCCATTATGTCATTCATGTTCTTCTCTAAACTGGTTATTGTAATTAGCAATTTGTCTAACCTTTTTTCAATGTTCTTAGCTTCCTTGCATTGGGTTAGAACATGCTCCTTTAGCTCAGAGGAGTTTGTTATTACCCACCTTCTGAAGCCTACTTCTGTCAATTCATCAACCTCATTCTCTGTCCAGTTTTGTTCCCTTGCTAGGGAGGAGTTTTGATCCTTTGGAGAAAAGAGGCATTCTGGCTTTTGGAATTTTTAGCCTCCCCATCTTCATGGATTTATTTACCTTTGGTTCATGTTGGTGACCTTTGGGTGGGGTCTCTGAGTGGACATCCTTTTTGTTGATGTTGATACCGTTCCTTTCTGTTTGTTAGTATTCCTTCTAACGGTCAGGCCCCTGTGCTGCAGGTCTGCTGGATTTTGCTGGAGGTCCACTCCAGTGCTGTTTGCCTGGGTATCACCAGCAGAGGCTGCAGAATAGCAAAGATTGCTGCCTGTTCCTTCCTCTGGAAGTTTCATCCCAGAGGGGCACGCACTAGATGCCAGCCAGAGCTTTCCTGTATGAGTGAAATTAGGTAACTTTTTTAAAAGATTACATGTAAACTATTTTTTTTTTTGGCTCAGTAACATTATTTTAAGTATTTATTTAAAGATCAAGTACTCTTAGCTTTTCTGACACTGTCATATCTGCCCTATCATATTGAGGTTATTTCTGAGGTAGTGCTAGTTTGACCTGTGTCCATATGAGCACACTCTAAAGTAGTGTTTCTCAACTTTTTTTTTGCATTAGCCTCCCCCAACTTCCCCACCAGGAACATTTTAGACATCTTTCCCTAATTTCCTCTACCATGACACTCTAATACCACTGCGTATCTGTTTTTGTACTGTATTTCTGTGCTTTATATGATTTTTTTTCATCCTCCAACATCAATTTTCACACTCTTGGAGGTATAACACGTCTGCTGAAAAAATCATGCCCTACAGAGAATATATGAAACTCCAACTCTCACTACCCCAGGTCCAAGATAACCTTTCTCTGGGATCTTTATGGATGATGAGATTATTTGAGGCCACACCAAATTAGGCTCCCTGAAAACTATGATTAGGGCTCATATTCCCAGAGCTGCAGTAGAACTGAAAGTTGTAATCTTCTAATTTTGTCTGAATGTTTAACAGGGAATTCTAAATTGATACACCATCAGGATTCACCCTCAAGTAAGATTATCCAGGATTCCTTTGCTACATCCATAATTAGTTTCTCTTCTTTATTCTTAATATGTTGAACAAGATTTAGGACTTTATAAATATACTTTGGAGATCATACTTTCACTACTATACCCATTAATATGAGTTATCTGATGCAACCTGAAGTTGTACATAGCTTGCACTGTCAGTATTGATGGGTGAATGCATATGTAGAAAAGTCTGAAGTGGTATGCAATATGGATAGTCTTTTTTTTTTAAGAAAGAGAAAAATGTTTTACTAAGAATCTGATTGTTAAATAGCTAAGTTGTTGGAGCAACTATGAGAGAATGGCCTAGGCAATTACTAGAACCAAGGTATTTTTGGCATTTGATTGTGTTGTCCATACTCTTACCTTCCACATTTAGGACAGTAGTTTTAAAATAAGAGAAACTGAAGATGTTGGAAAAAAATTCCCATTAAATGTGAATGATCTTAGATGATAGAAACTGAAATTCTTTTTTCCTAGCACAATGTTCATCATTCTTTAGATTTCAGATTTCCAAACTATGTTTCAGAAAAGGATTGTCCTGTATAGTAAAGTCTCAATTTTTAGAATTTTCTTTCTCTGAAATAACTTTTAAAATGAACGATGCCTTATTAAGGAATAATGGTATGCTCAGTGTTCTAGGATTCAACTTCAACATTTTTCTGAGTCCTTCAATAAGAAGGTAAAACTCTGTTTCAAGTTTGTCAACAACCTTTACTCTTATTATCAAGAGTTTCTATTCAACAAACTGCAAAGCACTGTTATAAAAGTAATAAAGGTAAAAAAGTGGTACCATGAGATTCACACTGTCTTCAAAATTATTGATAGGAGTAAGGATTTATAACCGCTTTTAAAAAAATTCTGACAATTTATGGGAAATACTATTTTAATTTTTAAATGCCTCTTAACTGTAGTCAGTAAGTGCTAACAATCAACACAATCCAATTATTGTCATTTAGCTGTGGGCTCCCTACAACCTGCACATGATGGCTTATATACCTTGGTTATGCAGATTAAAATTGTTAACTGGGCTGGGTGCAGTGGCTCACACCTGTCATCCCGGCACTTTGGGAGGTCGAGGCGGTTGGATCACCTGAGGCCAGGAGTTCAAGACCAGACTGACCAACATGGTGAAACCCCATCTCTACTAAAAATACAAAAAATGAGCCAGGCGTGGTGGCGGGCACCTGTAATCCCAGCTATTCAGGAGGTTGAGGCAGGAGAATTGCTTGAACCCAGGAGGCGGAGGTTGCAGTGAGCCGAGATCGCACCATTGCACTCCAGCCTGGACAACAAGAGTAAAACTCTGTCTCAAAAAAAAAAAAAAAAATTGTTACCTCGTGGTGTTAGAGAATTCAGTTATTTTTTCTTAAAAATCAAAATGAAGTCTTTGATTCTGTAAATAACTTTTTTTCTCTAATCAAAAATGAGGGGTCTTAAATGTTACTAAGGACATAATAATAAATTTTGTTCTAATATACTTAAAATTTAGGATAGCCAATAAAAGCCCATTGTAATAACAACCTTCAAGAAAATTATTAAGCAGAGAAAGAAAGTATGATATGTATACTTCAAGTAGTATTCCACTAAGTATTTTCATTATTGAGTGCCTTGTTAGGTTATCTTTCCATTTGCTTTAGTATCTTTGATTTCTTTAACTTCATTGTTTTTCATTTCAGTAAATAAATTCCAACTCACAATCTTATATTACATGATCCTAGAATATTCATACCCTGAGTTTCCATAATACATACCTCAAGTATTTGAAGGACCTTACACTTTTTTATTATTAAATACCATATATTTAATTATCTGTGTATGAAAAGCACCTAAACATTTTCATCTATGTATACAATTGTGCTTGAAAAGATAAATAACTGATCAACAGATTTTTCCATTTCACACTTTGTGTTTTTAGTGTTTGACAAGATCTTATCATCTGCAATGGATAATTTGCCTTCTTAGCTTCCTGTTGTCTCTATAACATGCCTGCTCTACCATTTTTCCATACTACCTTGATCTATTTGTTGTTATTTACCAATCATTCAGATCTAAAAGCTATGCTTCTGTCTGTTCACACTGCTCAAAGATGACTTTACCTCAATAAATAGCATGTATATGCGTGCTTCCACTGCCATTATCTTCCTACTACTGGTATTAAAATTAAAACATTCACAGAAGCTTGTAATGCAAATAACTAGAACAGGGACTCTTAGAGCTCTTTTGAAGGTCTCATTTTAAAAATCTGTTACAGTTATATTCAAAATAAAATGTTAAGCAATTTGTTATATAAATAAAGGCCTTATAATAGATAATGACCATTAACAACTTTTAAAACCGTATTAGTAAGACTGGTGTTTCAGTTGGAGGTAAGGCTTTTCCTTAAAAATGTGAAAGAGTATAAAAAAGAATGAAACGTATTGAGAGCCTGCAGCAACTAAGCAATGCCATCTGGCATAAACACAATTGGAATTAATTTTTTAACCTAAGAAGAATTTTATTTATATTATAGTAAAAAGGTAAGGTTATAAAAGTAAATATTTTAATATTTAGGCATATAATGTGCATTTTACTAAGAATCTGATTAAAAAGTTAAAGGCTGTATGACATACATACATGGATTTGACTAATGTAGTTTTTCCGTTCTCTTGGTGTCATTTTGAAATCTAATATCACTGTCAGAATTATGAAACATTTAGCAGCTAGTTATCTTGATATTAAATCCAACCAGCTAAAATCTGAGAGTAAACACACAGTATTTCTGATATTCATACTTTAATTAATTTTTTTCTTAATTAATCAAGCTTATCTCATAAAACCTAGTCTTTTGTTTGGATAATCCTGCTGACTTACTGTTATTATTTATTCTAATATACAGCAAACTGATTCTTAGTAAATTATTCCCCAAAATTAGAGAAACTTTCATTAGAAATATTAGAGAAACTTTCATGAGAAATAATTTGAATACAAGAATTAGGGTGGGATACAACAATGTTCATTAAAGACAGTACAGTGGTTGATAGCAGTTGTAGGAAGCATTTCTTAAAAACTGGAAGGTAAACTATCATAACATCCCTAAACCAATGTGTGTGGCCCGTTTCCTTGATTAGGTAAAAATGCAAAAGAAAATCACTTCTGAATATTTACTACATCACTATTTCAGTTTAGGGGGAACATGGTAAAGAAATTAACATAGTCTCAATAAATTGAGCACATAATGCCACACCCACCATGGAGATTGGCTCTACAGATATAGAACTGTAGGTATTTTCTAACTATTTTCTAGCTGTTTAAATAAAATTCAAATACTAGAAGTTATAGTTGTAATAAAAATTACACTTGACTGTAAAGTAGCAGTCTTAGGTTAAAAGAATGCTCTTTCACAGCAAATTACAGTGTTACTGGCAGCATGTATAAATAGCATGAAAAAGTGACTATTTTCCAAGCAAGTACCCATGGAAAAAGAAAATCATTTATATAAAGATTATATAACTTAATATACTGTAAAGTTACAGAATTACATAATTCTAAGAATACCTTTACCCTTGTTTCTGAAGAATATTAATGTGAAAAAATATTTTGGCATTAACTGCTACGATAATTACTTACCTGTTTCTTGTACAAAACCAACTTAATAGCTACAGGGTTAGCTTATTTTTATGTGTAGTCAGAATCAAAATGGAAAACTTTATGAAGCCTCAATGAAAAGAAGTCTCTTGGAAACTTGGAATTTTATAATAAGGTAGTCATCCCATTTTAAAAACAAGAATGTACATGTGGGATTCTTTATATAAAACTAAAAGATGAAGCATTTTTTAAAAACTTTAAGAAAAGTTAGTTCACATCTTGTTTTAAAAAACAGAATGTTAGAGATCCTTGAGAAGAACCTACTTTTAAGTATGTACTTAAGTTTTAGTATGAAAATCTGGAATCAAGCATATTATATGATAGGCTATTTTTCACTTGCAAGGTAGTAAAATGGAAAATCTCTTAACTGTGTTGCATATACAAATCCTTCAGGAGTCTTTACAAATTAAATAAAAATTAAATTTTCAAAAAAATCTAAAATCTTTTTTAAAACCTAATTCACTGTCATTTTAGATTATTTCTGCATCCAGAACTATTAAAATGCTTTAAGTATAATGAATGTAAAAAACATTTCTTCCTTTTCCTTCCCTTCAACGCAAAATGAGAAGTCTTCAGTACAAGTTTTAAAAAAGTAGAACATGCCACTAAAAATAAAGTAAGAAACTATTTTCTTTTTAATCAAAATAGCAAGTATTTTAAGTTTGTATAAATAACCCACACACACACGAAAAACCCACCATATTTTATTTTAGGTATGCTGTCTAAAGTGGAGTAGCAATATAACAAATGACAACAACGAACAACCCCTTATACTTAATTGGAAAGATGTATGCTCTCATTTTTCTTAAAGATACACATTATGAATTTTCTACTGGCATTCTTGAATAAAATTAAGCATACTTTTTCACTTACCTCATTTTCCCTCTAAAAAGGAAATAAATCTCTTCTATGACTGCAACGCAAAGTTCTGAAACCCCTCAAATATACAATCTTTAGGAAAAAATTCTTAACCTGCTACACTTCTTAATGTGCTATCCATTTTAAAAACAATCTATTTTATGGCTTATGCTTAAATTTAATTCATGAGCATAGATCTCAGAGATTGAAGAATCTTATTGGCAGTCAGCAGCTCAAAGGATGACAATGTTCCTCGCATTCTTAATCTCAACATTTTAAAAGAAAACTGTTCACAGTAGTCTTAGAAAAATTTGGAGATAGTTCCATTTAAAAAACACATTCACCACAAATAGATACAAGGGAAACCATAAGAAAATAGATTATGTCTTTGTAAGCTTGTTTCATTTCAAAATGTATTCTTTAGGGTCAGGGAAATTTCCTATACAAATAAAACTAGACATTTGTTCCCTTTACTTGAAAAATATTTACAGTACACAAGCTAAAAGTATACACCTGCTTATAATGCTGGCCAGTGATATAAATGAACAAGGACACAAAAGTACTTATTCAATTATCTGAATATCTAATTTGTTTGTATAGTGAAGTAGTTATAGATAAACTATGGAAAAATTAGAAAACAGTATTAATGAACACCAGCCCTCATGTGTATAAAACATCACACAAGATGCCAAGGTATTATACATCCACTGTGGTAAAAACTATACATACATATTCTGTGCATCTTTAACATCGCAAAATTTACATAATAATTTTTTCACATCTCAAAAAGCTGAGTTGAAAAAGTCTTTTTTTTTTCTTTTGCCAGACATGAGTGATGTTAACTGACAATGTTTAAGAAACTTCTTACAAAACTCCTTGCTAAGGAATTCTCATTAATGTCTTTTACTGGTGACCTCATGAAGAAAAACTTACTAAACTTTGAAAGTTTTGAGCAGATATTTTCACATCTTTGCTGGCTCGCATCATGATTTATATAATAATGATATATCTAATAATAGTCCACAGCAATGTGAAATAGAAAACTTTGTTCTATAAATATACTTTGTTCTCAGAATGAAGGACATTTCTTTCATCCAGCCATGTTATCCCTTATTTGATCCACTCGAAGAGCTAGATCTCTAAAGGAGGGGCGTAGATTTACATTATTGTTCCAGCATTCTGTCATGATCATATAAATCTGTAAAGGAGAAAATAAACCAAAATTACAAGGAACACTAAGGACCATCTTTTAATTGGTGGAAGACATTAATTTTCAATACAGGGTACATGTCATAACTATGCCTTGTTCCACAGTCATCTGATTATGCTGTTTATCTGGAAGCTCCACAAATTAAATTTCAGAAAGTGAACTGAAGTCTTTGAGTAAAAAGTAAAATAAAATGCATGATTACCATGGATTTAAAAAAAAAAAAAATGTTACCTCATCTGGGCATCCATCTGGTCTTGGTAATCTTCCATTATTCTTCAAAAGTTCTATCAAATGGAACACGATCATCTGTCCTTGTTTATCATTGCCAATCATACGCATAAATTCCTAAAACAAACCCATTTTCAATATTTTTTGTACATTTAATTTGTAGCAAAATTATTTCTCAATTTCCTCCAGTCAATGGGAAAAATTTAGTATATGTGTGCTTTTGTATGTTTTCAAACCTTTTCAAAAGAGGCTACTTTTAGGATCAAAAACATAAGGCTGTTAAATATGGAACTTCTATAATTTCCATTTCCATAGCTGTAATAAACACCACAAATCCACTGAGAAGGGCTCAAAACACATGAACTAAAAACATATTTCCTTTGAGTTTTTTGTTGTTAAAAAACTCACATTTTTATATTACAGGTCAATTGAAATAAAAACTTGAATATAAAACAATATAAGAAAAAATGAATAAGTAAGTATAAATGCAACAGAAAACTTTCATATGTCAAAGTTTATAAAATTAAAATCGAAAGGCTGGGTGCGGTGGCTCAAGCCTGTAATCCCAGCACTTTGGGAGGCTGAGATGGGCGGATCACGAGGTCAGGAGATCAAGACCATCCTGGCTAACACGGTGAAACCTCATCTCTACTAAAAAATACAAAAAACTAGGCGGGCGAGGTGGCGGGCGCCTGTAGTCCCAGCTACTTGGGAGGCTGAGACAGGAGAATGGCGTAAACCCGGGAGGCGGAGCTTGCAGTGAGCCCAGATCCGGCCACTGCACTCCAGCCTGGGCGACAGAGCAAGACTCTGTCTCAAAAAAAAAAAAAAAAAAAAAAAAAACTTAATCATTTACTTATTTTCAATATAGAGAGCTCTTATAAATTGGTAAAAAAAATATATATATATAAAGATAGGCAAATCACAGAAGACATACTTCACATATATACATACTCGCCCTAAACACCCAACAAATATATAGTCAATCACATTAATAAAAGAAATGGAAATTAAAATATATATAACCTCTCCCCTATCAACTTGGCAAAAGTACATAAAAATATAATGACCAATACTGGCAAATGATGAAATGTACATCCCTATGCATTGCTGCTGAGATATAATCTGGCACAGCTTTTCTAGAAAGCATTTTGGAATTAAAACCTTTAAAATAGTTCGTAACTTTTATTTTTATTCTAAGATACTTATCAGAGATAAATATAAATATGCATGAGGATATTCACTATGTTCACTAAAGTGTTACTTAAAAGACTGAAGAATGGAAAATGATTGTTCAGACATATATAGCCTTATGATGGAATGCTACTCAGCAATTAGAAAACACATTTGCAGTACATTTTCCTAATATAGTAAATTTATCCATGCTGTAATACTTCATGAAACAGCAGGAGAGCAAACTGCACAGTATGACCTTAATTTTATAAAATAATATATATTTATATATAAAAGTGAACTTTTATAAAAGTTATAAAAGTTTCATATACTTTTTTGTATATACTTTTATACACAAAATAAAAAGAAGCCTGAAAGATAACATACTACAGTATTAAGGTGGTCTTCTCTGAGAAATTGCATTAGAGATTTTTATTTTTTCCATATTAAAAAAATTCTATGATGACCAAGAGAAAAATTACTTTGGAAGGTTTATTTTAACTTATGCAATAATTCCTACAATGAATGAGCTAACTGGATTTAATAAAAATAATATTAAGAGACTATACCAAGTTTCCCAGTACTCCCTTTTTAAAAAATTCAAGCTACTTTGTGAATAAGTTTGGGGTTATTTTGTTGGATATTGCCTTAAAAATAAGCAATAAGAGCTCTAAAATAAGTCCTAGGCTTACTGTTCTTTGGATAAATCCTTTCTTATGTTAAAAAACTTCAATGTGGCTGTCTAGGAAACCGCGGCATCGGCGGGCAGGGGCTGGCGGCCAGAGCTGGGCAGGGGGCGGAGGCGGGGGCTTGGCTGTCTCCACGGCTGCCACGCAGAGCGTGGGCTTTGTGGCATGGACATACCTGTTTGTTTCTAATGTGGCTGTAGTTGGCATTCTATCCCATACCAAGATACCTTTTGAGATGAAGAAACCGAGGCACAGAGGGATTAAGTAGCCTGCTCAAGATCACACAGCTAACTAAAAGTGAATCAGAAAAATAAAGAACCAGCATCAAATTTGAAGTGGCCACAAATTCTATTAAAGCAGAATAAATAGTGTGAACCATAAAAGAGAACCAGTTTCCTCTCTACTCTGCAATTTAGAAGAAAAATTTTCATCCAAGGACAGATCAGAAGATGGCCGAATAGGAACAGCTCCAGCCTCCAGCTCCCAGCATGAGCGACACAGAAGATGGGTGTTTTCTGCATTTTCCACTGAGGTGTAGACCGACACCTAACACCTCACACGGCTGGGTACACCCCTGAGATGAAGATTCCAGAGCAAGAATCAGACAGCAGCACTCGCTGTTCAGTCTCAGTCAACTATCACAAGAACAAAGAACACCAAAAAACCAACCCGCATGTTCTCACTCATAGGTGGGAATTAAACAATGAGATCACTTGGACTCTGGAAGGGGAACATCACACACCGGGGCTATTATGGGGAGGGGAAGGGGGAGAGATGGCATTGGGAGTTATACCTGATGTATATGACGAGTTGATAGGTGCTGACGAGTTGATGGGTGCGGCACACCTACATGGCACAAGTATACATATATAACCTGCAATTGTGCACATGTACCCTAGAACTTAAAGTATAATAAAAAATAAATAAATAACGTGAATAGAATTAAAGTTTTAGGCTGAGCATGGTGACTCACGCCTGTAATCCCAGCACTTTGGGAGGCCAAGGCTGGCGGATCAAAGGTCAGGAGTCTCAAGACCGCCTGGCCACATGGTGAAACTCCATCTCTACAAAAATACAAAAAAAAAAAAAAAAAAAAAAAAATTCAATGTATGTTCTTGTCGAT